TTCTTTGTTTGCGAATGATACTTATTTGTCTAAGAGAGAGAGAAAGACAGAGATGGAAAGAAAGAATGAAAGAGGTGGAAAGAGAGAGAGAGAAACAAAGAAAGCAAATAGATGAGGGGGAGGGGGAGAAAAAGAGAAAGGTGGAAATAAAGCAAATAAATGGGGAGGGGGGAGGGAGAAATGGAAAGAAAGCAACGTTAACTTTTAATGTGTTCTCCAACACCCCCAACTCCGCCATGCTAGCTGACTTGGCTCAGAGAAGAGATTTAAAGAGACAAATGCCTTCTCCAAGCTAGCTGGCGGAGGGGGGTGGCGCTTTGAGAATGAATGTAAAGTTATTTAGCTGCTGTAGATTGTACGGGTTGTATAGACGTGGTCTTGGCATTGTAGGACCTGATGTTTTGCCAGTAGCTGTGACTGGCATCCTCAGAGGTAGAACACAGAAAGATGGAGTACTCTCTGTGTCAAGGTGAGAAGAAAAATGGTAGGCAGGTAATTTATCTCTACTCAGGAAGGTGGGGTAGGGCTGAGTCATTAACTTGTAGGGGTTCCTCAGGCTGTGAACATGCTAATGGAGGAGCTTTCCCGAGGAGGTTCTTTTGTATATGGATTGGCTGTTTCCTGAGGAGGTTCTTTTGGCTGTTGGAATTCTAATCGTATCTGCAGTGCTATTGGCAGATGTAGAACCTTTTGTGTTTTTCAGGACAGGAAATCATGCCCTATTTATTTTTAAACTTTCTCCTTTCCTGTTGAAATTTAAAGTTAGTTGCTTCCTTTCTCTACCCCCCCCTCTTCTTCTTTTACCTCACAGGGTGTCTGTTGTGGGGAGGGGAAGGGAAAGGAGTTTGTAAGCCGCTCTGAGACACCTTTGAGTAGTGAAGTGCGGGGTATAAATCCAATCTCTTCTTCTTTTCTTCTTGCTTTCTACTTATCCTATATAATGCTGATATTATTTATTGTAAATGGATAATTGAAAATTGAATAAAATATAGTAAAAAAACCCACAAAACACAAAAAACTAAACTAAATATCCTGGAGGAATGGATCTACTGGGAAGGCAGCCATTCCCCAGAGCTATTATTGGTCAGGTCACACACTGCCCACTTTAAAGGATCTTTACTCAGAAGTAAATCCCTTTCTGCTAAATGGGCTTTGGATTTACAGTCCTGAGGATTTATGCCTCTGCAGTCTCGTTTCCGTTCTGCTGCTGTAAAATGCAGCATTACGGAATGCGCCCAGATAGCATTTTACTCTGACCCCTGAAATTGTCAACCTCTTTCTTAAGTCTTCCCCCCCCACACACATACCTCATCCTGAGAAAGTGATGTGTGCTCCAGCAGAAGCAACTTCACCTTTTCATCGTGCAGTTATACAGAATGGGATGAAACCAATGGTATTTGTTTTGGGGTGTGTGTGTGGATTTTCCACTCAAGATACATAGAATCATAGAGTCGGAAGGGGCCCCACAGGCCCTCGTGTCCAATCCCCTGTTCAGTGCAGGATCAGCCTGGAGCAAGGGTGTCCAACATGTGGCCCGGGGGCGGGGGGGACCAACCCTCCGGAGGGCTTCTATCAGGCCCGCAGTGGAACTGGCTGTCTTCCGCGTCTTCTTCCAGTTCTGCTGCTGCGGCGTCATCGTAGATTTGCAGCTTACAGAGACACACCTGAACAGCATACCCAAGATTGCAACAGCACAGACATTTTGATGCAATAATTCAGAGCAAGAGGTGTCAGTGATCAGATACTGTTAAATAATCAAAATATTGCAAGAGTGCTAATGTTTTAAGCATGCTTTTTTATTTTAAGTTAAAAAAACCCCACCACCTTTGTGTTTGTGTCCTTTATAAAGTTCATATCTCCGCTACCTGGCATTACATGTTATCCAGTATTCACTCTAAGCTGTGGAGCCTTGTGAGCAAAACTTCTACTTTGTTAGCTACTGGCGTTAAAAGTTGTGAGCCAGCGATTTGGCTACTGCATAAATTAGTTTGCTCTGGAGCCATCCCTCCTGAGCTGAGACAAAAATGTGTGAGCCAGAGGCTAAAAAACTGTGAGCTAGCTCACACTAACTCAGCTTAGAGGGAACACTGGTTATGACACGCATGGCCCGGCCCAACAAGGTCTCATTTATGTCAGATTTGGCCCTCATAACAAATGAGTTTGATACCCCTGGCCTAGAGCATCCCTGACAAGTGTTCATCCAGCCGCTGCCTGTAGACTGCCAGTGGGGGGGAGCTGATTCCATGGTGTAACTACGGAATTACTCTTACTGAACTAAGAACATAAGGGAAGCTGTATTGGATCAGGCTAGTGGCCCATCCAGTCCAACCCTCTGTGTCACACAGTGATGAAAACCCAGGTGCCCTCAGGGGGTCCACCAGCAGGGCCAGAACTCCAGAAGCCCTCCCACTGTGGACCCCCAAAGCACCAAGAAGACAGAGCATCACTTGCCCCAGACGTAGAGTTCCATCCATACCTTGTGGCTAATAACCACTGATGGACCTCTGCCCCGTATGTTTCTCCAGTCCCCTCTTGAAGCTGTCTGTCCTTGTAGCTGCTACCACTTCCTGCAGCAGTGAATTACCCATGTTAATTAATCTTTGGGTGAAGTACTTCCTTTTATCTGTTCTAAACATACTGCTCATTAATTCCATGGAGTGCCCACAAGTTCTTGTATTGTGAGAAAGGGAGAAATGTACTCTACCATCTCTATCGCTGTTTAACCCAGGCTTGTTGGAGCTTAGGAGCTAAGCAGGATCAGCCACAGTCAATACTTGGATGGGAGACCACCAAGGAAGATTGGGGTCAGTATGCTAGGGAAGGCATTGGCGAAACCACCTCTGTTCGTCTCTTGCCTGGAAGGCCCCATGCATGGGATCACTATGAGGAATTTCACATTACCCTTTTTAACCCATTTTGAAGCCGTTTTTGATTTGTTGGGGGATAAACCGGTATAGGGCTGCCATTTCACACATGGCTTTCCCCTTCCTGTAAAGGGCTGGATCTGAAGCGGTTTGCCATTTCAGACTGCACCGCTTTTTCCCGCCGTTTTTCACCCGTGCGGGCAATCTCTGGCTTTTTTTTAACGTTTTCTTTAGAGCGCTGTAGTGTTATAACACAACACTCCAGGCATTCCAATGGGGTTGATATATTGCTGTTGTGCTATAACGTTATACCGTTATAGCGCTATAGCACTATAAAGCGAACGTCCCCCCCCCCCAAAAAAAAGCCAGAGATCACCTCTGCGGGCGAAAAACGGTGGGAAAAAGCGTATCGGAACCAGGAGAGGAAACTGAAGACTACATGGAAGCAGTTGACAGGTAAAACGCTTCAGCCCTGTTTCCACGTGTGTCAAAAGGTAATGCCAGGTAGTGGATATATCAACTTTAGAAAGGACACAAGCACAAAGGTGGTGTTTTTTAAAAAACTTAAAATAAAAACATGCTTAAAACAGTAGTACTCCTGCAATATTTTCTTTATTGAACAGTGTCTGAGAACTGACACCTCTTGCTCTGAATGATTGCATCAAAATGTCTGTGCTGTTGCAATCTTGAGTAAGCGATTCAGGTGTGTCTCTGTAAGCTGCAACCCTACGATGACACAGCAGCAGCAGAACTGGAAGAAGAAGCAGAAGACAGCCAGTTCCACAGCGGGCCTGATAGAAGCCCTCCAGGGGCCTGATCCCCCCCGCCCCCGGGCTGTATGTTTGACACCCCTGCTCTAAGCTATGGAGTCTTGTGAGCAAAAATTCTACTTTGTGAGCTACTGCCATTAAAGTTGTGAGAAAGTGATTTGGCTACTGCATAAATTAGTTTGCTCTGGAGCCATCCTTCTTGAGCTAAGACAAAAATGTGTGAGCCAGAGGGTAAAAAAACCCTGTGAACTAGCTCACACTAGCTCAGCTTAGAGGGAACACTGGCTGCGACTAAATGGCACCTTCTTCTTCTGGCAGGCAGCCATGACTAAATATGACTTGTTTCCACCTCAGAGAGGATATGAGGGAGAGGTAAAGGTAAAGGTTCCCTTGCTCGAAAGCCAGTCGAGTCTGACTCTAGGGTTGCGGTGCTCATCTCCGTTTCCAAGCCGAAGAGCCAGCGCTGTCTGAAGACGTTTCCATGGTCATGTGGCCGGCATGACTAAACACCGAGGCACACATCCTACCACATGTGGTGGTCCTGTGGTAAAGCCCAATCCTTTTGGAAAATGATTCAAATAATGATACAAGATATCATACTAACCCCGATATCCTTTAAACCAGAATTGTTCCTCTTGAACTTAGTTCCAGAGGTTTTTGTGGAAACTGATAAAATAATTATATTACACTGTGTGACCACCGCTAGAATAGTGTTCGCGAAACATTGGAAATTAGATTCTATACCGGGCAAAGATGAGTTTGTTTATAAATTGTTAAATGTAGGAGAAATGAATAGATTAAGAAATATTTTAAAAGGGAAAGAAGAAAAGGACTTTGAAGACACTTGGTCAAAATTGTATAAATGGCTGAAAATATTAGTTAAAGGTTAAACAAATTATATTACTTATTTTCATTGTATAAAGGGACAGAGCTGTGGGTTGGTCCTGTATTCAAATGTATGTTGTTAGCGTTGAATGATTTATTATTGAAAAAAATAAAAAAATAAACATGGGGGGGGGGGGAAACACACCGAGCCCCACGGAATGATGAGTTACCTTCCCACCGAAGTGGTCCCTATTTATCTACTTGCAATTTCTTGCTTTCGAACTGCTAGGTTGGCAGGAGCTGGAACTAGAGATGGGAGCTCACTCCGTCATGCGGCACTCGGGTCTCGAACTGCTGAACTATTGACCTTCCACAGCCTGCAGTTCAGCATCTTAGCCACTTGAGCCACCGCAGCTCCTGAGGGAGAGGGGGGTTCACTATAGGGGGGCACTACCGCAAGTGCGCACAGAGTCGTTATCATGGTACTGCTCTGGCTGTAAATCCAATTAGCTGAAACTTTGAATCCCCTCTCCCAACACAGGTAAACTTTTCCACATCGATTTTGGCTACATTTTGGGCCGGGATCCAAAGCCTCTTCCTCCGCCGATGAAGCTGAATAAAGAGATGGTGGAAGGCATGGGAGGGACGCAGAGCGAGCAGTATCAGGAGTTCCGCAAGCAGTGCTACACGGCTTTCCTTCACCTGCGCAGGTAAGAGTGATAAAGCCACGGTGCTAGGGTCATCAGCTTGGAGCCAGTTTGGTGTAGTGGTCAAGTGTGCGGACTCTAATCTGGGAGAACCGGGTTTGATTCCCCACTCCTCCACTTGCACCTGCTGGATGACCTTGGGCAAGCCATATTTCAGACAAGAGCTGTCCTTGAAAAGAGCCGTTTTTGTCAGAGCTCTCTCAGCCCCACCTCCCTCACAGGGTGTCTGTTGTGGGGAGGGGAAGGGAAAGGAGTTTGTAAGCTGCTCTGAGACTCCTTTGGGTAGTGAAGGGTGGGGTATAAATCCAATCTCTTCTTCTTCTTCTGAAATTTAAATACTGTTGTTGGCCCTCCAGAGATTGGCCACGGTATGAGATGAGATGCTGGATGAGATGGACCACTGGCCCTTTCAAGCAGGGCTCATCTTATATTCTTACATTCGGGCAAGTCTGGGCCACCCAGGCCAAGACTCATACCCCGCAACAAATCCAGTGCTATTAAGATTTAAGGGCAGACATCCATTGTGTTATTGTATCTGTCCTGGACAATGTTCCCTCTAAGCTGTGACCACTGGTGAGCAAAAATTCTAATTCGTGAGCTACTGGCATTAAAATTGTGAGCGAATGATTTGGCTACTGCATAAATCACATTGCTCTGGAGCCATCCTTCCTGAGCTAAGACAAAAATCTGTGATCTGAAGGCTAAAAAACTGTGAGCTAGCTCACACTAACTCAGCTTAGACGGAACACTGGTCCTGGAGCAAACGAGTAGTTCTGGTGAATTCGGTCCATCCGGTTTCAATATTGCAAGTAGGTCCTGACTGTTAGAGGCATCCGTCTGGATGGGGGAAGGCCATAGATGAGACTCGATCGTGAAATTGCCATAGGCTCAACACTTTCTGTCTAACTTCTTCCTAAGAGTCAGGGGTCCACAAGGAATGAAATGGCCTTTTGGATACATGACATGTTGGGTGTTGGAGGTCTACACTGGACACACCCTATTTCTCTCCTTCCCGGAACAGAGTCCAGTGAAGAAAAGGAAACATCTAGTGATCTAGTGCAGGAGCAGGAGATGGGTGGGGAGAGTAATGCAGAGCCGTGTCTGAGTCATTGGACGAGGCTCTCCGTCTTATTGAAAGCCGAGACGGAGAGAAAGAGAGAACTGTCCTTTATAAACTGTCATTGGTAATGCATTAGCGGCGATTCAGCAGAACGAGGAAACAAAGACGAGTTATTAATCAGAGATGGCCGTAACTCCCGTTCCCCGGAGAATCTTCAGGAAGGGATTAACCTGTGCAGGTGACATTCAGGGGATCAATCATTCATGTTTGGTCGGATGGGACTTGGAAGACATAATTATTCCTTTTGTGTGACTATGCCTCACGTGGTAGTTTCAGAATTTTCCTCCTTGCTTAACCTTGGAAGCGCTGGGAGTCGGAATTGTTCTCTTCTTGTACCAAGTGTGTCCATGTCAAGTAACCAGATTTGGAACCTAGTATCAAAAACGTGTACCTATCGCAAGGGTTTCCAATATGGGCAACACGGCGCCCGCTGCCATCTTTCCCGGTGCCCACAAAGTGTCCGTAGAAACTGGGTGGTGCCTAGTGGGGCATTGGCCCTGTGGAGCTTCTGATTGGCCACTGGACATCCAATCGGCTGGGCAGATTAGAATGGCGTTGTTGTTGTATTCTCTCTTTCTCCTCTTTCCTCCTGTGTTTCTTCAATGATCTCCCTCCTTTCCTTCACTTGGGCTCCTTATGTCTGGTTGGCTCTTCTTCCCCTGACCGACATTTTGTTAGAGTTGCCAGCTCCTGGTTGGGAAATACCTGGAGATTTTTGTGGTGGAACTGTGGAGGGTGGGGTTTGGGGAGGGGAGAGACTTCAGTTGGGTATAATGCCACAGAGTCCACCTTTCGAAGCGGCCATTTTCTCCAGGTGCATCGTTCTCTTTCGCCTGGAGATAAGTTGTAATAGCGGGTAATCTCCAGCTGCTACCTGGAGGTTGGCAGCCCTGCATTTTGTGGTTGTGCCTACCGCCCTGGTCAGAATTACAAAGGTGTCCTCAGGCTCAGAAAGGTTAGGGACCCTGACCTATTGCAATGCTCTCCCTCCCTTCCCCTGTGGAGGACACTATACCTGGTTCTTCCATTTGATGGCCACAACAGTCCTGTTAGGTAGGCTAGTCTGAGAAAGCAAGGTCACCTAGCGAGCTTCATTTTGGAGAAGAGATTTTGTCGGCTGTTGCGCTGTGTGATGGTAGTTCAGGCTCAAACACTGGAGGTCTTTTGCCCCCCTTGGTTCAGAGATGCTCAGAAGAAAGGCGAGGGTATAAAGAAAGAATTGTTTCCCATTCTTTTTTCCAGGAAGCTCAGGGGTCAATACAGGAAATTCCACTCCTGCATTTTAAGCCTCATAACAGCTCTATGTGTCAGACACTTGGATAAATCAGTTCTCAACACCATTCGCTTCTAAGAAGGATGCGTTTATTGAGACATCGATGGGGATCCAGCCTGTACATTGGCTGTGTTA